GTGCACACACTGTCAGAGCTGTGTGAGATCACTACCATCCTGCTTTTGTGGGGGTGGGTAGGGGTGTTAATTTTTTTCCCCCATAGGTTTTTAACATTCTAAAAGCTCTTTATTCCAAAGATACTACAAGCTAGTCAATGTATTGTAAGTTGCTTCAGAAGTATTGCAAGTATTACGTACAACAATAAAACAGTGCATTGACATAAAAAAGGAAATTTACTTTTGGTACTTAAGTACTTTTAAAAGCAAGTACTTCTGTACTTTTACTTAAGTAAAAATCTGTCTTTACAACTTTTACTTGTAATGGAGTAATATTTGACCAGCGGTATCTGTACTTTCACTCAAGTAATGGAGTTGAGTACTTTGTCCGCCTCTGTCAAAAATACAGTAGAAAGTAATAAGTACCCACTATGATGTCAATATAACATTGAACTAGACAGACATATGTTTCATTTCTTGAACTCAATGGCCAGTCAGAGGCATTTAAGTTAGTATCCACTCAACAATGGAAACGCCAGAGATTTTTTATTACCGAGGTCTGTATGCTCATGAACCCTCTCATTAATTGTAACAGTGTAGTCACGATGTAAATAAGAAATTCAACATGCTGTGCAGACAACTTCGTTGTCAGATTGCCATGAATTAAAGTGTGTGTCAGTCAGCTTTTTAGTCATTATGAAGGGAGCACTCTTTGCGAGCATTCTTGGCTATATACAGGTGCATCTCAATAAATTAGAATGCCATGGAAAAGTTCATTTATTTCAGTAATTCAACTCAAATTGTGAAACTCGTGTATTAAATAAATTCAATGCACACAGACTGAGAAAATTTTGGGTGGGCAGGTGTACTTTGTAAGCACAAGCCTAATAAATGAGTGGCAATTACAATGCATTGCTCCATTAGTATAGACCAGGTACACGGAGCAAGAAATTTTCTATAAGAAAACGCACACAAATGTAGCACAGATCACATACATAGAAGTGGTAAACCGCAGGGAAACTTGCTCTATGTCCACATTGATCAGTTCTGCTACCATCAAAACAGAACAAGCAACAATGTAGACACTTAAAACCAGTATGACTTGTGCTACAAAAATACTTTTGGGGGGGGATGGGGTCCAGTGTTGTTTTGGATCCATCGGTCTTTACTTGTATGGAGGGTCACAGGTCATTACTGATCTCGCAAAACTTTAAAAACAGAGCCAAAGTTAAATTTATTTTAACCCCTTAACGGTCACTCACATTTTTGAACATACACATGAAAGTGCACGATCCAAACTTAGATTTTTAGAATTCATGAACAAACATTTTGTAACATGATATTGATGTACCATTTTCATGGTAATGCAATGTTTAATTTTAAAAGGGGTTTCAAAGGATGAACTGAGATTTAAAGTTTTCAATTGATTTATAATTTCTGATGATTTCTAAAGTGTGAGAGAAAAAGGCAACAGACTTTTTTTGACAAAGGTCAGAACTCCTGTTATGATGTAGATTTGAGGTGCACTCGTCAAATTAATCTATTACTTTTCCTACATAATTTAACAAAAACATTGGTAAAATACCCATTTAGGAGTTTTAGACCTTTCCAACAATATATAGTTAGTCATGATTAGATTAGGGATGCTCCTGGATCACCTGTTTCGCCTCCGATACCGATACCTAGGGTTCGGTATTGGCCGATACAGATACCAGTGAAGTTTTTTTCCCCTCATTTAAATAAATGTAGAATTTAGTGAAAAAACTATTTTGTGGGGAACAAATAAAAGTGTTGCACTAAATATGGTAAAATGTTACACATTGCTATTTGTATTATTATAAAATCCATTAATTAAAAACACACATATACATTTACAATAAAATTAAAATAATTTTTTTTAAATGTATAGCATATTTTTTAATAAGACAACAACATATGATACGATAGGACAAAACAAATACAGTGCAGCACGAACTGTTTTTATACATTCAACCCTCAACGGACACCTTGGCAATTGAATCGTCATTGGCTAGTATATTTTTGGGTTTACTCGCCAGACTGAAATACTATACTCGTATGCATGTATGCATGCGCGCGTGTGTGTGTAAAATGGTACAGCTTTTTAAATATCTGAAAGTACACTCTTAATATCAGTCAGTTAGTTAGTAATTAGAATTAAAACTTGGTAACCATGAACTTAGGACTGGTGCTGGTGCTTTTTTTGGTCATTCAGTGTTCCTGTAAAAATAAAACAAACAATAATACTGATAAGATATTATTATTATACGAATTCTACTAATAAGAACAATATAAAAACGCACTAAGGATTAATGAGCTACTGGATTCATGAATATTAATCAGGTTGTGTGCGTTTGCTCGAACTGATTCGCTGAAATCAAAACAGGGATGATAATAGGTGAGCACCAGCCAATGAGATTGTCGTTTGCGCATTAGTTCCGCCTACTACAGGAAAACCCGGCA